GCACGGAATAATAGTCTAGATTTGCGACAAAGAAAAGCAGTTTAAACGCTCCGGCGAAATACGAGGGTTTTCCTAATGTTTCGTCGGCAAGATTAGTACTCGTGCGAATAAGTAAGCCCTAAAATAAACGATTACGCGGCCATGTCGAAAATTTATCGCGAGTCCGCCCCGTTAAAATCGGTTTATCTCGATTTCAGAGTTACTCGAAATTGATAAGACAGCCGCGTTTTGCGGTTTCAAAGATGAATAAAGTTGCGGCAAATATTCGAGATTATCAAACTTCGCGGCCGACTTTTGATGTATACAGTAATCTGAAGCCACTTTAACTACATGGGACCTTGATCGCTTTCATGAAGTTGAGTCAATTACGCGCTTCATTAATTTCGGCTGGTACGCATTCTCTTGTCAATCGACGCGCTTCAATGGCTCTGCGTAGAAATTCGCGTGAAATTCGCGATACATAGCGCGGAATTGAAGCGGGAAAACGATTAATTCGTACGCCCGTTATGCTTTCTATCATACACAGATGATAAATGAATATTACTAGCCAACAGTTATTGCTCATCGATGAGCGTGTCAAGTGCGTGGCAATATGTATAGTATTGTTTGTACATTCGTATTACAATTTTTCGGGAGTCTTTACGCGTGGAAGCGCACGGATACCGTAATTATTTTACATTAATACTCGACCCAAAGTGATTGCGACAAGTTTGCATTTAATTTAACACGCGGATATAGCGCGCGCGCATAAATACATGCGAACCTTATATATGCGCGGCGCCGTGGAATGCGATGCATTTTGCAATTATCGTGCATTAGCTGTGTCTATATCGAGTAAACCGATTTGAAAGGCCGATAAGGACATATGGAATATAATTGTAAGTTCGAGTAAGCGCGCAGAGAATAAAAGCTACGTTGCGCCAACGCGATTTCACGCGCAATGTGCGCAGACACGGGCGAATTCCAAGGAAATCACAATAACACCGTCAGACTATCGCTCTTCAGCCACTTCGTGGGCGTTGAAGAATCTTTCGTATATTGCCGTAGAAGGAAAAGTAATTATCGGTAATTGAATCGCGAGATTGCCAGTAAGACATTTATTTACGATTGGAAAGGAAAAATACAACTTGAAACTTTTGTTTATATGTAACAAAAATGTATTAAATTGTTAAATAAAGTTTGAAGGGATATTTATTTGCTCATTTAAAATTATTTGGCTGAAATTGATTGTCGTGAATTATTAAAAGCATTAATTAGAATATTGTTAATTTCGTCACACCTAAATGAATTTATAAACAGCAACATTTGAACATTAAAATAAAAAATAAACACGAATTTAGTACACTCATGATAGAATAATTTTACCTCATTTATACGGGTTTGTATAATTAGCATATGAAAAAAAATCTTCCTATTCTCTGATGAGAATATAATTACATATTTTGTGTATCTTTTATAGGCGCTACAAATATAGTTTTCTATATTTTCTATAGTTTTTAATAATGCGTGAATCCTTAAATAATTTTCGTTGTCTTTTTGGCATTAAGTATTATGTAATCCGTGGCATTAAGTAAGGCTATTTTAAGGCGCGACAAGGCTATTGACAAAGCACGGGCGACTATTGATCCGTGCGATTCGTGGCAACAAAGTGGAAAATATACATTAACGTCACTTTGAGAATACGCCGCCTTTTGAAAGGCGCAAGGTCGAGCGGTTTTATGAGGTCTCTAATTCCGCAATCAGTTTCGTAAAGTTTCTAATTGTTTAACCAAATTTCAGGGTGCGCGCGCAGCGAGGAAACACGCGTATCCGAGTACCTCGTTGCCGTCGAGGTCACAATTTTACTTTATATAATTTCGTTTCTGTCTGTCTGTCTGTCTCTCTCTCTCTCTCTCTCTCTTTCTCTCATTTTCAACACTTTGTCACGATATTAGCATACTTCTTACTCGCTCGCACCCCCGCGAAGGAGGGACGCGTTGTTGATTGACTTGACACAGTTTGCACGATCACCGCATTCGGCGCGAACACGCCGCGAAGGTGGACGAGATAATTGTTTTTTCCGCACCTTAAGATATGCCTTCGACAGTCGCCGGTAAGCGGCTTCATCCGATGCGTTCGTGTATGCAATTGGCGCGATACACTAAGAAGGATGTATGCCCGCGCCAGTTTGTATTACAATTCTTTACGATGACCGAGTAAATCGCAAAAATTCTCTATTTTCCTGCTAATTGCGCGTTTCCGTGTCCTGTGTCAATCTCACGAAAGACTCGCCGAGAATCCAAGAACGAATAAAGCCGCGGCGCAACTTAGAGACCATAAAATATTCAAAGAACTCTCGAAGGAGTGAACCTCGCCGTCAAAGAGAACTTGGGATATGCCGCGCGAAGTGTTCCCGAGCCGAAGGAGCTAAAGACCTCCGTTTGCCGTGTTAGCAAAGGACTCGAGATGGATCGTATCGGTGATCCGTGAAATTTTCGTGCTCGTCCGCGACGGTGCCTCGCACCAGTGTAAACGACGGGCGGACTTCGCCGGTTTGCTTACAGTAACAACACCAAGACGTTCGTCAAGCCGGTTCCTTACTCCTTCGGCAAACTGCGGCCATCATGCTTGATTCATGGATCCGGTGGTTCCGGTGAATTTGCCCCTTGGCTTTACTTAACTGGCGAATCGCGGGGGGTAGATATTATCTGGAAAATTAAAGGTCCGAGACTCTACTAATTTCGCTGAGATATTCATGAGATCCCCGGTTAAAAAATATTTTTAATAAACGAGACAGAAGCTTTTAATTGGAGGAAGTACTGAGTTGGTTGTATAAGCGCGGCTTATTTTTAGTTCGGCTGAATATACGAGAAATAGGTTTTGTTATTTTGCGATGTTGAGATTCTTACAAATCTTTGCACACGTTAATGTCTATTACGTATTACGTAATCATCATCTAATGCACACTCACATAAAATCTTTGCGTCGTTCTATGAATACAGATAGTTTTAAGTTTGAAAGTTCAAGTAGATTTCTGATCGCAAAAAGGATTCATGTAGTCGTAAAACTCCCAGTAACAGTTCGCGTGACTACACCGTGAAGATAGGATAGACCGATCGGAATTGGCTTGGAACGTAAGAAAGCGAGATTGAAAATATATAATGTGATAATGCGTCCTGTGTAATTAAAACACCTAATGAATGTCGAGATAGCATTCGATTGAAATAGTATTATTAAATTTTAACTGCGATAGAATCAGATCTAGAGAGAGAGAGAGAGAGAGAGAGAGAGAGAGAGAGAGAGAGAGAGAACCAATATTTGTCGAACTATCGTTCGTTTAAATTAACGATTGTTAGGAGGGAAAAGCGAGAACGTGAAATTTTCTGATACAGTAATGCGTCTCTAGAACGTTTACCGAAATTTGCAACGTATATCTTTATGATAAGGAGTTTCCGCGTGACGTTACGTGTGCGCGAGAATGCATGAGGAGACATAAAGTTTTACGGTGTTTCAATATATCCAAGAGCATAACGCGGCTGTGCATTATCATATGATGCCTCGCGAGAGACTTTGCTTCTACATACAGTAAGGTTGACAATAGAGAATGAGGCACATTCTACCTTACGGCTCATTTCGGGGCGATATGACGGGACTAGCGCAATAACTTTTCCAACAAATTTCGGCAACCCCAACGACGGAATATTAAAGTTGAGAAAAATGAAGGGAAGTCTCCTCGAGGAACGGTTAAAATTAATGATATGTAATACACAGCAGGGGTGAAGCGAAAGGGTGGGATAAAATAAGTGTTTCTCCATCGGCTTTGCGTAAAAAGTCAGCCGTGACATCGCACGAGAAGAAATACGAGAACTAAACAATGCGGAGATGCAAAGTCCTCTTCGACGTATCTCATAAATTTCATTTATCTCCCGAGTCCGACAGCAAAAAATATATTCAGTGCAGAATCGCTCGCGCATACCAACTGTGCCCTCTCGTGTCTGTCCCAAATTTAATCTCCAGGGAAGCTACTTTATCCTCAACGCCCGAACTTGTTGCGGCACTAATCACAGCGAGAAAAAATAACGAGACAACCGTGTTATCATAATATTGTCGCTCGCGTGTTATCGCGTTGTCACAACAGCGGTGGCGACAACAATGGCCGCATAACTCAATTCCGACGTGCTGAAATTGCCTGGCTAGGCCGCTCTGCGAAAAGCCGTGAACCAACGTTTCTAGTCTTTCATTTCCAGATTTTCAGGGTGGAGATTCGGGACAGAGAAAGAGAATGAAAGATGAAGCGACGAGCGGTTGCATTCCCTTGAATATGCAACGAAATAATATATCGCGAGCCCGATATCCAATACATTTCCAACAATGAGGTCCCTTTCGAATTATCGCGCTTTTGTTTCCTCGCCATTCGGTATTTTCTGTTCTCTTCAACCCTCTCTCGCTACCATCCGCAATTGCGGCGCGAAATCACGACGAGAAACTCGCGAAGCGTTAAGGAATCGTGGGATGTGTTATTCTGACGCATACACATATGCACACATATACAGTTACGATAACTCTTTTATTAAAAGAATATCGAATGAGCGGGATTCATACAGATAAATTTAATAAATCGATTCGTCTAAAACCAATTTTAAATTTAAGCATTTTGATTGCGCGATAATATTGGATTAGGACACGATATTTTTACTGGCACATATATTATATCAAATTAAATCTGCAGATGGCAGAAAATTCATCGGAAACGAAAAGTAGGACATGCAAATATATATACATCTCTCGCGGGTGGAAAACTTGTTAATGGAAATTTTTAATTATTGAGCGGCTAAAGAGTATTTACCGCAGCGATTGAAGTTAATTGCAAGGTGCATTTATTCCGAAGCGCTGCCGCATTAAGTGATCGATATACCTGCGGTTCGCAAAAATAAATTGTGAAATTAATGAAATAATCAAGCAAATGCATGTGAGATTAAAGTAATTCGTGACTCGTATAATTTTCAGAATTATACGTTCAATCGGAATTTCATTTGCGGAAGAGTTACGCGCTCGAGCACGCATATCTCGACTATTTGTCTATTGATCGGTCTATAGCAATGGGAATTTCTGCAACTGTAGAACGACGCGCAGGATCAATGAGACTGACGTGCAAAACAAAAGGAAAAGGGAGAAAACGAACCGAAGAACATGAAAGAGGAACAGACGCGAGTCGTGACAATACGAGAAAGCTTGTAAGGGGATAAGGAGGCTCAGCCGTCTTAAAAGACGATTCTAAGATACGAGCTAGAGAAAATAAGAAGAGAGGAAAAGAGGGCAGTGTGAGTGAAATGGGCCGTGGAGAAAGAAGAAAGGACGAAGCATGGGGTATGGCCGATAACAAAGGATGCACGAATCTCTGAGACAAGGAAGTCGCAAAGGAGGGCTCCTCTAAACTGTTAAAATCCGGTGAGCAATCTAGAAAGTAATCCGAAGTGTCGAGTGAGTAGAGCTCGAGGATTTCCTTCGTTTTCCAAAAAGAATTACTTATCGTACTACCGTGTACCTGGCGGCGGGTTTTCGGAAAAGAGACGATGAGAGTTTCTGAAGACGCGGCGATACCTGGAGTATCGCTCTTATTTTTCGATTAAATAATACTTAAAGCTCCTTTGTCAGAATAGGGCGTGAAATTCTTCCTCGTAGAGGAAAGTCTACTGAATCTAATGTGTGTAACATCTGTTTGCTGTCTCTTAAATATAATATACGGAACATATAAAACTATGTACTACCGCGTTTTATTATAGATTCTGACAAAATTTGACAGTTTCTCTGTATATTCGCGGTCAGTTATCTCTATTGTAAATTTCGCGTAGAGAAAATTTTATCCGCCCACGCGAAATTATGGAATATTTCTAGCGCGTTACGGCGAGAGAAGCCAAAGTTCTTTGGATCATTTTCCGAATTCTATCGCTCGTTAGCTGACGTTTGTTCTCATTTCTCATGCGTACTTTAAGCTAAGTTTTGCTCTACACAAGCGCGGCGTAACGAGTCGCACCATGTGTGCGAGTACCAGCAATAAGCAACAGCTGGTCCATGTCGTATCTTCTATCCGAATAATTCGCGTGTTATAAACCCCCTCTTTTCGTATTTCTCCCATTCCTCCAGTCGCCGTTTAACACTTTTCATATCGCCTAGACCATATACCATCCGTATACTATCTCGCGGCGTGTCTTGCAAAAAAAAAAGATGTATATATATGAAAAATATCATTAGAGAGCTTGTAAAAGGAAATTAATTATTCTGAAAAATCATTATATGAGCTACGTGTCGGTAAAATTAAATGCTTCGTGAAGACTGTCAGGTACTTAAAGGTAATAGCAATTTTCTAAATTGCGATAATGTTCGTTTATCGTGTGCGGTAATGTTATACCGAATACGAGCTTTACTTGTAGCCTGTTATGAATTTCTATATCCAATGGTAATCACGTGGAGCGTGCATGCGGTCGCTACGTGCATCGCCGCACGTAAATGCACGTGTGTGCACGCGCCCACTTCGTGCGTGCGCGTGTTGCGCCAAGTTCTTGTAATAAAACCGGACCTCTCGTCTACGCCTTTTCCCGTTCTGTAGCCTGTTCTCGTTTCGATCTTCGCAGGAAGCATTGCCGCCGCGAAATTAGATCGTCCACCGACGAAAGCCGCGAGATAGTCCGATTGAATTTCCGAATGCCCTAGAAACACAAGCCTGAAACGGGCCGTCTCCACGTAGCAGAGCTGTGCTATTTTATCGAAGTTGATTACGTAGTGCGACGAAATTCGACTAAACCGACATAGTAGATTAAAAATTCCGGGAATTAATTATTATCAGCGGCGAATATCGATATAATATATATCGGTGATTTTTAATACTACCTGTCGTCCTCTTATTGCGTTTTTACGCGCATATATCGGCGAGAATCCTAATTTCCTTCAATTCATTTTATAATTGCCCTTTTTATATAGCAGAAGCTAATAACAATTACAGATATTATTACAGATATTATGAACTCGGAATAATCGATAATAACGCGAGAATAGTGTGGTACAAGCGATTTACAATTACAGATGTGTTATCATAGGCATTATAACCTCAAAGTATACCCGTTATATAAATCGTCGTTTTCTTTCATTTTTTCTTCTAGCCATACCGATGAGAAGAACAGAGGTAATGACCGCGTTGTGGGGAGAAATGGCGTGCGCCAATAGTTGGAGCAGATCGACACACGTTGAGCTGGTGTTCGAGGTATCCCGGTGCAGCTGCATTTGTGTGAGTGTCATTACTCTCGTCATGCTCCATAGGAACACTTTCACTGCCTTTTAGCTTAAAGTCCATCGGACACGATCGACTATACACGTTGCGGGAAAATCTGCGAGCAACGCTGAGTCGATCTTTTTTGCAGTTTGCAAAGTACGCCGTCATTAAATGCTATCGCGAAAGAAAGAATTGTTTATGAAGTTGCGTAAGCGATGTCGGGACATAGTTTTTCTATCTTATGCGTCATCTTGTTGACTACAATCGATATTTACGCGCTGCAAACTTGGTAATTAAATTTATTTAAGTAATCAGTCATTTATAAAGTATGAATTAAATTTATTCAAACATTTAACTTTTAAAGTATGAGACCGTTTTATCTCTCGTATCAAGTGTAACAGAAATTAATTGATTCAAGTTATAGAAGAAGAAAAGAAAAGAGGAAGAAACAGTATTATTGACAAAAAGAATTACATGTAAGATTTATACATTAAAATATGTCCTGCTCGCGGCAATGTTAGATCATAGTGTAGTGACAGGAAGTACGGCCGAGGGTTTAATGAACGATCTCGTAATCACGGACGTGCGTAGCAAGTAGTGCTAGAAATGCACTATCTAAGAACCCATGTCAGTTAATTAACTTCAATGGAAGCCTATTCTTCACGTCGACGGTTTAATTAAACAACGGTTATCTGCCAAATTAAGATAATATCGCGTATTTGCAGTTTGAGACGGAAGAGACGTGCCATTTAGCAGAATGCAGCGATAAATCGCGCAAAAATGTATGTAATAGCTGTTATATATCTTGCCTCGTTAGACACACAGGAATATGATACAGTAATCGATAATAAGGCACACGTCTAAGCGCAAAGACGTTTTATGAATGTAGTAACAGCTATAAACATTTTGGCCGAGACATTTATTAGCTTATTAAAATGAGCGTAGGTGCTGATCAGGAGAGAAAGGCAGAAAAGTTGCAAGAGATTTTTATCGTGATAATATAGAGCCAGTTTTATGAGACGGTAAAACTTGGAATTCCAAGTTTAGAATCACCGACTTTAAGATACTTTGATACGACTTCCGTTGTAAGCGTTAACGAGCCACAGGAAATCATATCGGCGGGGATTTATTTGGGGATACCCAATTTGATAGGATTGGAAATCAAGACCTCAGGCGAAAGGTTTTCTTCAATAATCTTGTCGTAACCGCAACCATACCAATTAGAAAACTAATGAAAGAGAGTAAAGCGCGGTTGCGAGAAATCTCACTGATTTTTAACTAAAGCGTACCAATTGATTCGTCCAATCTCGTTTTCCCGTCAAGACAATGGGTCATCAAAGGTGAAATAGGACAACCGTTTTGCATCGATTTACATGGACGGTAAATTGTTCCTAAATTGCGTGCTATTCTCCCATAAAATAGCATAGCGATGAGCTAACACAATACAATCGATTAGAATTTGTTTCTCTTTTTTTTTGTATTTTGTCATCGCGCTCTTCTCTAATAACATTATTGTGTGAAAATACTCTACAAACTTCATATATTCTGTTGCAGTTCTACTTTCAGATGAAATCTTTCTCGCCATGTATCAGAAATATTACCTCTTATTCATAGCTTCCTACTTACAAGTTTTTATCGCATCTCGTCCTTGGGTGTCGAAAATGGAACAGAACGTCTCGGCCGAGTTGGTAGCTGGACAAAATCCAACTCGCCTTTCGCCCGCGAAATTCAAGACCGGAGTGCGGTACGCGGCATATCGATTTCCACCTACGATGCTTTTCTATCGCGCGATTCCGGCTTGTTGCGGGTCATACATAACGTTGCAGCGAAGGCGTAGTCGCCGACACGCCCGAACAATTCCCACAGCCGAGAACCGAAGCGAATGGTCACCATTATGGTGCTCACCGTGACATGTTACCAGTAGTTAAGCGGTAAGTTTAACTGTTGCTTAATATCACTTTTCAAAGGATGTTCATGGCAATTTGCGAATTGCTCGTATCGTACTAATTAAATCTGTAAATTAATATCAAGAGTAATTTCTTTTTTCGTACAATTCCTATGTTTTATACTAACACTATTTTTATAACTATTATTTTATAATTACTATTTTTATAACTAACATGCTCAGATCACTAGACAGTTGAGTTATTTTTGCAATTTATGATAGCTTTCGTTGAAGTTAAATTAAAAAAGAAGATAATTAAGACTAAGATGAAAAGTAAAAGATTGGAGAACCGTAATTAAGCGTGTCTGTGTGGCGTGTAAAAGTACTAATTACCAACATTTTAACAAAATCCGCAAGTCGGGGAGACAATAGTAAATTTGTACCTCCTTTAATTAAAAAGGCTCACGACAAAGTGGGTTAAGAGGTACGGAGCTTGAGTAAGTCAGTAGAACGTTCCCTGATGAGCAGCAGTTTCGGAGGAAGTGGTGAAATAAATACAACCACCGTACGAAGCTACTTGCGCAAATCTCTACAATAAAGAAGAAACGTCATTCTCTTCGGGGAAAATCGGTTCAAAGTTGAAATTAACTATGTAAGTGATTTTGCATTCATAGATCATTCGCAGTCACAAATTACCTAAATCATCTACCTTTATAAACAAAAATTGTTTTACGTTAGAAATTCATCGCAACGATAGGATGCATGTAGTTATAAAAATATTCGGTATAAAAAAAGTTATAAAGATACAACCGATGAAATTTGCATCATCGTTTTCGAATTGATTGCAGGACGGAAGAAGAAGCAAGTAATTTGAGGAAGATTCCGTATTCATCGTCGCAGTGAAACAAACGCGAAATCCCGTCGTTTAATAACCGCTCGCCAGATTCCCGTCTCTTCAAGGAAGTTACGAGATGAAAGTAAAATTACCAGTGTGTTCAACGTTAATTATGAGCGTTCGTACAGCGGAATATCTATGGAGCTGCGTCCCTCAAGTGGATTTCAGCGTGTCGACCTGCACACGCCGTCTGCCGATTATGCGGAGCTTCAGAAGAAGAATAAACTTCGCGCTGCATAAACGGCCGCTTAATTAATTTCGAACCCGCGTCTTAAGGGCGAATCCGACTTGCCTTGAGGTAACAGCTCGCGCTTAGCTCGCCCTTAAAAGAAAGCCAGGTGAGTGATAGTCATCGTTAGTCACCTCGCACCAATGCGTTTCCCCGAATTTATCTCCAGTCTGACCGTGCAGGATTTATTTTTGGCATGATAAGTGGACCTTTCTATCGTCAGGAAGCAGAGAGGGAAGATGAAGAGGAGCGGAGATATGCTGTGGGAGGGAGAGCCGCGAGGATGAAAGAAGAGAGTCCGTTAGTGACGTGAAGGAGAGAGCGGGAGAGACTATACCGACGATAGAGACGATGGTCGCTACGCTGTGAACTGGCTTTTCAACTCGTTCTCCACCTCTAATGTCCAATTTTTTCTGCACCGCTTCTTTGCGAGGCTCTGGGTTTTGCCACTTTAATTAACGGTTTTGCTAATGGCGGAATAAGAAGGAAGCGTCCGGGCTCGTTAAACGTCCCTTTCGTGAAACTTCTCTCTCTCTCTCACTCCCTTGCTCTCCTCTCTTTCCCCTCTCTCTCTTCTTACATTGGTGGTAAATCTTTGTTACATGGACTCATTTATGTTGTTATAGGAGAGCAGAAAGGGCACATATACGTATACGTCCCAACTACGAAATATTACGCAGAATGGAATCAGTAGTTGCGTATGGTTAAACGCTCTTCCTTTTTGTAACTCCATCCAATTCAACTTCTTTACGATACTTTTTTACGTGAACATTATATAACATCATATATGTTTCCCTTTGTAACTACGTTATTTTCAAGCAGAGTTCCCCCTTTTAGATACTTTTTCTTACCTTTGATACTTAAAGTTAAATTAGTGTATATTCGGCCTTTTCAGGAAGAAAGTGAGGAGAAGGAGGTGTAGAAAGCGCAATTTTTTGCTTTATGTACGTTATTTGTAGGTGCACCACTTAAAAGTTGGAGTGGAATTCGTTCGTGACGTTTGCGCTGTACGATCTCGCCAACGATGATTATTTGTTTCTTTTTCCCGGTTTGCAGGAGATTATAAGTTCTCGATTATATTCTCACGAGCTCTTGCGGCTAAGTCGGATATTTCCACTTTGACATTCAAAGAAACAACCGGTCGAGCAATTTCGCGAAGAGCAATCGAATTGCACGATATATTTTCTTTATATTTCAAAAAGCCTATTGAAAGCCTATTGAATATTATGTATTGAATCTCACATTGCGCCTTCAACTTTTTAATATCAGAAAGTTTGCATGTTGGAAAATTTCCACCGCGAGCAAATTCATGATAAACATTGATTGACGGCTTAACAGTGTAACGTACTATTACTTCCAGTGGTTTACGAGTATAAAATTTAACGTCACATTCTTGGAAATAAACATCATTAGCATTGTGGTGCGTCACGCGACAAATATATACGCAATTCTTTCATTTGCGAATAAATGTATTAGGAGATAAATGCTAAAAAAGAAGACAGATTACTTTCTGGCATTTCTGCGCTGTGGTCGGGAAAATTAAAATGGACGGTAAAAGGACATTTAACGTTCAAATTAATATCCGGAACTTTATCGTTTTTCTCTCGTAATTTGTCGACGTAGTGGCTTCACTGAAGTTATGATAAATTTGTTAAAGTCAGTCATAAAATGATAATGATCATTGTCTTCGAGTGTAAAGCAAAGGTTGAGAAATGAATCTCGCAGACTAAAAATAGACAATGGCCAGCCAGTGGTGCGCGTGTATTCAAGGAACCGCGCGACGATCCTGAAACTGTAGTGGAGGAGAAGAGAAAGAGTCAAGGATGAAAGTCGTCGTCGCCATCGTCGTCGTAGTATTCGGCTGGCTCGTTGAGTACCAAACGATCTGGCCGGGATCCAAGCTACCGGCAATCGATATAAGCGCGCTAGCTTATGAACAATGGGCTCGAATATCGCCGCAAATAAACGGAGCCGCACAATTTCAACTTACCCGACTCAAGTGAGCTTAACGTATATTACTAACCATAAAGAACGGATACCTTCGTAAAGAAACCTGCATGATAAGAATATCCGCTTATACGCTCTCTCTCTCTCTCTCTCTCTCTCTCTCTCTCTCTCTCTCTCTCTC